ATTGTTTTTGTAACCTGCTTTTCTCTGAGCCCCTCTATTCATTTTTACTATCTTTTTTGTGAGGTAGGGTGGCTAGAACTGAACATGAAACCCAGTACATGGGCATTAAAAGGGCCATGTTAATTTCTAACCCATTCTTCATGTAGCCTAACAGTTTGCCTGTTTTATTTATTTTTGGCAAGACTGCAAATGGAGCATGGTACTTGCATGCTGAAAGTTAAGCACATGCTTAAGTGCATGGTGAAGTTAGGGCCAACTCACTCAACTTCTTACAGAAATTAGTGCCTAAAATCCCTCCTGTCACAGCTGTTCATACTGTTCCAAAGCACTAAGCAATGGCCCTAGGAGGAATACAGACAAGTTTGGATGCCTTTATTCTCAGCTCTGAGGCCTTGATATGAGTGCATATGTTATAAATGCTTTCAGCACATGAATATCACACATAACCCTCCCCACTCCAAGATTCTGCTTGGTTAAGGTTTGCTGTGTTTAAGTATACGTTACCCAGCGCTCCAAATGGCCACTACACATTTCCCAGTTCTCTCTCTGCACCTGCCTGCATCGTCAGCAGCCAGAAATATTGCTACATCTGGGAAAGTGGGCAGGGTGAGTGGGACGTGAGTAGCACAGCTGCTCACCAGAAATTTTGTGAAATTGCAAAGGTCACATATGGCCCTTTGCACACTGACTGAAGAGCTTTTACTGAAAACTGTATCAATGGTGAAACCTGAGGGTGCTGCTTTACTTACCCCTTGAGAGTCATGGATCTCTAGCTGGAAGCCCCAAATTGAGAGTTACTACTTATATTACAAACAAGTGAATCTGCAACCTGATTTTTAACTACTGAAACTTGGCCTTTCATAATGGAAGCCAGTAATCAGTAGTCCCATCAGAGATGGTACACATGGAGTCCACTTGCCAGAACAGTTGTACTCAAACTGTTTGATAATGCCTATCGCCAGGGGATTTTGAGAACATGTAGAAATGAACCCCATTCTTGTCTCCCTCCTGTCGCAATATGTTGTTTCCTCCATTCTGTTTCACTACTAGCCCCCATTTGTCCATGTGACTTTCCTCCTTCCTGTTCCTTGTAGATCTACCCCCTCCACTCCCCCCTGCAAGCCACTCTTCTCATCTCTGCCATTTTGAATATGGGCTGGGCACATTTTGCAGAGCTCCTGACAGACTATGTATGTTTTTCAAAAAACAATGGCTAACTATACTCGTTTAAGCTAAGCACATGGCATAGGCCCCACTCCAGAAAATGCACTTCTACATAAAAAACAGAAATATAATACATATTATCTGTAACTCTGCATGTATGGATTTCATATCTGCCTCTGTGTTCTTTGGACAATATATTTAGCTATATTTAAGTATATGCTTAAAATATATAAGTATACTCTTGGAGATATGAAACTTCTGCATGAATCTGGAAGTAAAGGAGCTAAAAATTCTCTATGAAGGGAATAATTAAAATACTTTAAATTAATATATTGTCTTTTAAATTCCTTGTATGGTTTACACCAAACTTTCCTGACAACTTCTGTCCTAAAATAAATTACAGCATGTAAAAATTCAGATAGGTTGGCTTTAAATAAAGCAAAGGGATTTAAAAAAACCAAAACCAAAAAACCAGCAACTCAAAACAGGTGTATAGAGCACATTAGCTTCAATCTCAAGTGTAGTTTTCTTAACATCTCTCTGTAACTCAAAGACCAAACTTGAACCACCAGTCTCTACTATGATTATATTCAGTAACATATTATTAAATGTATGTTACACTTACTCTACGAAATGACACCACATAGAATGTATCTTCCCTTCTGTCAATAGCTTCAAGAAAATCTTGGTAACTCCTTGGAGAGGCATAGTATACTTGCAGCTCATTCCCCGAGTTCCGGCTGAAATACAGGGAGAAAGAAATAGATTTGGAGATGAGAAAGATTATAATCTTAGTGAGGTACAAACTTCAAAGGCCCAGTTTTCAAGGAAGCTCACCATTCAGCAGCACACATTTTGTTCTTGGTGGGTATAAGGGCATTCTGAACAGTGATGCACAATGAAAACTGATGAATAACAAACTCATTTGACAACCTAGCTGTAAAAAAGTTTGCTTGAAAATGCAGGGAAAAATAAGAGAGACAAAATCAGAACCAACATTAGGACCCTATGTACTAATATACTTGTATAAAAAAAATGCAGCTCCAGATCAAACGTACAGAATCACAGAGTTTGTGTGGGGGAGAAAAATAGTTTCAGTAGGAAAACATTCCAAAAAGCTTAAATGGAATATTTCAATTTCCATTTCAAAATTGTATTTTGTTTACATTTTCCCATCAAATAAAATTTTTTAAAAGAATTTTAAAAAAAGTGAGAAAGAAACATTTCACCTTGACTAAAACAAAATATTTAGATCTAATTGAAACAGATTTCTTACAGTTTTTGATTTCTCGGGAGGGAAAGAAACCCAAAAGCAGAAGGGGAATGTTCATGTCAACTTAAAGCAAAATCCAATTTTTCAATTTAGCCAGTGAACTGAAAAAAAAAAAAAAATCAATTACACACCTCTAGTTAATAGTCTTTTATAATTATAGATTTAGAAATAAATAGGGATAAGAGTTCTCCAGTCTACTTAAGATATTGTAAGCAAAAACACTGGGCAGTCTGAAGATAAGCATTGTCATTGGACTTGCAAGTAATTTCCACCTTAGTGGTGTACCATCTGTGGTGTCACAACAAAATACTATAACTATTACAAAGCAGGGTTATATTCAAATACCCAAGAAACCTTGGGTGAAACTATAAAATGCAGTTTTTGTAAAGTCTCTCTTTTCTCAAGGGCAAAGAGAAACCATGGAAGGTTTTGTCCTCAAATGTCTGCCTGTAGCTGGTTATTACCATTGAGATGACATTCCTGATTTGGGGGGAAGGCAAAGAAACGGCTACTACTTTCCAAATCTCAGTGGGGAAATATTACCCTTCCCCATCTCCTTTACATATTCCACCATGCATTCTGACCTGACTTGTTCCTCTTTGCTCTTGGCCTGCTAAAACCAGAACTCAGAGCAACACTATATTATGTCTCCTCCTTCCAACTTTTCCTGTTCCTTAGGAGGGGATACTGAAAGTTCACCTTTCTCCAGTGCAGAGTATGTAGGGAAAATTAGGAGCAGATGAAGACAAACCAGGAAACAGAAGACAAAGCTATTTTGTCTCCGCCTTTAATTTTTGTGGTCCTACTTCAATGCCAGCCTTCTCTTTTGGGAAAGTCTTTGGATGGTCTAAAGGAGAAGCTGCTTTTCTTTTATTGCAGTTGCTGCATTTAGGAACTCTCTTGTAAGTGCCCAGCTTGTCCTGCTTAGGAAATGGATACATGAATGGCCTTCATCCCCAAGACTGCCCCTATGTTTTCCCCCAAGGCTTTACACTTAGAAGCAGGCTAAGCAAGAGGAGGGTTTTGAAGAATCACTGGTAAAAAACCTGAGGAAAAGGACAAAGTAAAACTGTAGCATGGAGCACCCTTAAATTTATTTGCCCCAGAAAAAGAAGTGGTAATTGTTCAAATACATAAAATTCATAAACATCTCTTGTAGGATAATAATTAGGCCTGTAAATACAAAGAGAGCCTGAGGCAAGATCAGAGAGCAGGATGGGGGTATTCAGAGGTAGGTCATTTCAGGTAACAAAGCCTAAGACAGTAACAAAATAGAGTATCTAAGTCCTAACCAGCGCAGGTAGAGAGACCTTGTCCTGCCTTACCTGACACTTGTATCTGTGTATGGCACGGCCATCAGCTGTGAATCTGCATTCTCCCTAGGGGAGCTCTGAAAATGGGACAGATAACATATGTCACACAAAGGGAAAGTAGCAAGCATTCTCCCTGGCATCCACACTGCACTGAGAACAAACACAAGTCTCCAGCAGAGCATGAGAACAGACTGGCCTGCAGCACAAATCTAAGGGCACTTGTACACGTGGTTTGGGACATGGTGCTGGGCACTTTAATTAGTGAGCCGCGCTAATTAAAAGCACCATGCATGACACTGCACACAACTTGACATCTGTGGACATTTAATAGTAAATGAAGTTAAACTAAATTGATTTAGTTACAGCAAAGACAGCCCAGAATTATATTACCTTCAGTCTGTAAAAAGAAGAGATTCTCTGAGAGACCAGAGATGGAAATCAATCTTAGAGAAACTTTTTTTTGTTGAGGGCTTCTGACCGACTGTTCTGGAAGATCTTCATACAACCCCAAACTCATACAGAAATGCACTCAAGCAGTGTGTCAGCACCACAGCTGATACACTGCCCAGGAGCTCTGGGATCAGTGTGTCAGAGATGAAGGAAGCCCGCTGGGTCATATCCATGCTGCTCTGCCAATGTTCCCTGCACCACACTTCCAGTGTCTGTCAAATTTAGTTTGAAGTGTTCCAGCCTGGGGAGTGGGGGAAGGATCTACCACTTCCCATGGAGAACCAATAAGAGGAAACTGAGGTTTAATACTTAATAAAGATTTCCCAAGGAGTGCATCTTGTTGCCCAGGTTTCTTCACTTCCATCTCTTAACGTGCTGTATTAAGATCTCTTTATTAAGAGAGACATTTGGAAAGCCCACAGATACTTAACTTCACTGTCAGTGTGCCATGTAACTGAAAGTAGCTTTAAGAATGAACCGCAAATACGAATCCCATTAATTCTGAATCCACACTATCGCCAACAATTTATTCATTTGGCAATGTCTGAAAGCCTGAAATAGGAATCCCTGAACAAAAACACTTCAGCTGTGGCCCATAATAGTAAGCACAACAGGTTTGCTCAAATGACTGCATATTTTTGACCAAAGATGATAGCAATTAAAAAAAAAAAACCTACGTTTTTTGTTATAGCTTTATTGACAGAAATATGATTTTTATTGTTTTTTGACACATTTCTTAATGGAAAATTTGTGCTTTTTCTGTGTATGACTCAGACCTATTGGCAATTTTTTACAATTCTGACCAATATTTGATTGGTCAATTGATTGAACTTTATTTGACAGGTCATATACCGAACCCTAGTTTGCTGTCGTTCATATTTAATCACTACACCCATGTGCACCTGTGTTCAGAGTCTTAAGAAGAGTCTATACAGCTTATAAAGAGAGAACATTTAGTCCTACTGGACTTTTCTGAAGTACGAGAAGAGAAAATTCCACTTAACAGATATCAACAGATTCAAGTCAGTTAAAAACCATTCTACCTTTATTTTTTGTCCATTCATCCTATTTTATTACATAAGCTGAAAAATCTATTATATGAGCTGAAGGATTTATCACCCTTCAGTCTCACCAGCTGCTTTCAGTAAGGATTTCCCAAACATTTTCCTAGTTTAATACAGAGCATCTTCTGAACTATCCCCATTCCATTTATAACATCCCTGCAACAATGGCAGGCACTAGGTGTTTTCATAAAGAAAGGTGGTTTACCTTAATCTAGCAGCTGAAAATTTAGAAGGAGAAGCCTGCACCGTAGGATTCAACAAGTTTTTGTGGACAACATTTTTGGAAACTTTTTGCTTAGATAACTATATAAGATTCACAATTCACTAGCTTCAGTGTTGGTTGCCTTCAAAGTATGTACTATCTAGAAAAGCTATGTGGACAAAAATCAAGGTTGCGAAGTCAAATCTCAACGGTTAAGAACCAGCACTGAGGTTGCCTATGTGGTCATATTTTGGACAGTGTACATCCTTATCTTCCTTGAATTTCTTTCTAACCTCTACCACTTTTTACTATCTTGTGCACTTAATGAAAGCAGGGAAATTATAAAATAAAAGGCTAAGTAAGCCTATAACTGGATTGCATAATGCACGTGCACAAAGAGGCAGAAATAAGGTTGCCTGGGCAACATGAATTTTGGCTAGACCATCAATTCCTGATTGCTGGTGTTGCAAACATAATGCTCTTTTAATACAGGAAACCCTCAGCATTTGCGGTTTCAAATATTTGCAAATGCTGAATCTGCATTTTAAATATACTTTAAACACTCCTCAGGAGCTCCGCGCTTGTTGCTGCTGCACTCCCGCCGCTGGAGCTGTGTCCCCCTCCCCCTCCCCCCCGGGGGGCACTGCGTTCATGAACTCAGTGCCTTATTCGCAGATTTCACCATTCTCAGGGGTAGGTGAGACTGTATCCCCCGTGAATGGCAAGGCTCGCCTGTACACTAAGCTCTCACATCTCATGCTCCCAAATAAGATGTACACCTTTTTTTAATTCATTATGTCTTCCCCACAAAAAGATTTTTCCATAAACGTGGTCACATGAAACAGGGACAGAGCCTAATTTTCAGCTCACTCACCCTCCCTTTTCTGCTCAGGCAAAAGTTTTAAAGCCTCAGCTGCTCAGCCAAAAGCTGTTGCCCATTCTGCGGTGGCTGTAAAGTGTTAAAACTATAGCTGTTGCTGAAGACTGAATTCTGCCCCTCCCTCCATTTAGCCAGCTGGAGGGAGAAGAGAAGGAAATAAAGCAGGAGCCATTTCACAATATCTCTAGGCTCCTATTAGGGGCAGAAAATCTGTTTAAGACCCCAATTTTGGAGGGCTATTCTTGGGAAAAAGATGTACAT